TGACTAATGTATTAGTCACCTCCAATAATTTGTAAATTTTAATGCAAGTAAAGTAGTGTGACTCAAAATTTAATTGGTAATTTGCGCTCTGAAATATTTGGTATCGAAATACTGTTTTGAATGACTTTACGAAAAATATTCCCTAGAAAACCTATTTGATTTTTGTTTACGTTCGATTTTTTAAAACTTCAAATATATCCGAGAAATCCAATTTGATACTTATGTTGTATTAATGATTTTGATGGAGCCAAGTTTAGTTTCTCTAAAGCCAAGTCTCTTTATTTTTTTGATCATATCCCTTTCCATGATCTAGTCTAATTTTTTCCAAACTTACAAAACTTATTTGGCAGCAAAAAGCCTTATTGTTAATGAAATTGAGTTTTACAAGCTAAATATTCAAGAAACCATTTGAAGCACAAACGGGTTCATAATTGTTCAAATCGCAGCTTAAGCTGTCACATTTTTTCTCACGACAAGCTGTAAAGGTTCGAACATGCAGTGGTTCACTCCCGCGTCGTGTTGCCAAACAATTCTGCACGCTGAACACGCACAAATTCTACAAATTTTAAATAGTACAATAATAAAAAGTCACTCATTAACTATCAACTGCCAAATAAACTTTTCATTCTAAGCATAAATTAATTTTATCAAAATGCTTACGTCATGAGTAATGTTACGATTGTCGCAAACTGGAGCGTAATGCTTTTCGCACTGAAATACACAGCATTCCCCGCTGTATGCGACAGACAAAGACCTAAGTATTACCCAAAGGTTAATTTCTTTAATATTTTCGCAGATTTATTACTTTATATATTTTGTGCTGACACAAATGATAAAAGTAGAAGTAAAAGTAGATATAAATAAATAACAACTTGTTGTAGCATTTGGCTTTATCAATACGACATCTGTTAATATAAGTTAAGCCGTCAGTACCACAAACAGGATCGTACCCTGAATCACATTCAAAACCAGAATCGCATTCCATTCCTTAATGTATCATTTTTAAGCCATTTTACTATCTATGAGTCTGATTTATTAAGGGTTTCTCATATTTTTGAGGCCCTTAATTAGTCCAAAATTAATTTGACAAATGAAATGTATCTGAGAAACGCGTTATTAATTATTTAGAGTTTAATCGGCAGTAAAATGTAATAGTATTGTTTTTATCATTATTATTCATATCAGTAATACAATGTTAGTAATAGTAATAACCTTCTGGAAAATACTGATCAATTTTAGAATGTGTGATTGCGCAGCTACCATTTTCATTTTGTAATGTAACTTTGAGATGCGCAATTTTTTTTGTTCTGCATTGGTATAGCTGAAAGATTTGACAAATTATTTTGAATATATTTAGTAATTAAATATAATTCCAAATAAAACTGTATTAAAATTTTTGTGCTATTTCGCACAACTTATAGTTAACACTTCAAATTCATATTTTTACGAAATAAAAGTAAAAATTATTTTATATCATTTTTAACTTATAGTTTAAGTTTGAAAAGTAGTTTGCCTCGAAATGGCAGCGACTTGAATGAGTTACGTTACGTGAATCACAAACAGGCTGCGCATTTTTACGATCTAACAGACATGTATCTTCAGACGGACAACATCGGCCCTCCTACAATAATCTTTTTAACTTTAGTCTTCAAGATAAAAGCAAAGAGCTTTTATAGTCATGCATATAAAAAATTTATGCGTAAACTTCAGTCAATTATTACAAAACTGTGAAAAATCTACTTTTTAACTATATTGGTTCATTAAATACTATTAATTAAAAAATTTGATCACACAATTTTTGCAGCAAAACTATTGCTGCACTTGTTAAGAAAAATTATTTCTTTAGTATTACTGTACAAATGATCTACGTTTAATATTTCTCACTAAAAAATATTCAGAAAACTAAAACTTTTCTTTGTTTCGCAAAAAGGAGAGAACAAAAATTACGTCAAGGTAAGTCAAAAGACTAACGTATGCGGGAGTGATATTAAAGCCAAATTTTCTTTCATATATGCATCGCAACATTTCAAATTCGCATTTTCGTTTCGTTTGTCCAGCTTGATCGCATAAAAAATTAGAATCTAATTCATTTTCCTCTTCTGCTTGATCACATTTAAAAGCCATGCATTCTTTACATTCTCCTGTAAATTTCAGTTCAGTTTATGAATTCCAATAAAATAATTATAGTAATTCTAAATTATCAATATTATTATAAATCTAGCAAGTCATTATTAGTCGATGGATAATGGAAAGTTATATTCGTAAGTCATTTAATTGAATAGATTTCAGAGAATTTTATTGGAACTTAATTACTGCATATGCAATTTTCCAGAATTAAATTTGAACTCAATGAAGTTATGCATTGAGCTTGCCATAATATAATTCTTTTAAACTTTTATCACGGCATTTTGCATTCTGGAATAAGCATCGGTTAGAATATGTAACAAATGTCGTTGCACAAACTGGCTCGTATATTAAATCATCCGAACATTGACGATGACAGTGACGAGAAGCGTGAGCTAAAACATCAAATTTGTTAGCTATCACGAATTATGAATGTAAGAATATAAATTATTGATTGATTGACAAAAATCAAATGGAGTAAGTAATTTTTGTTTTAAAAGTTCATATTTAATTTTTAGATATGACTGATAAAAATTTTGTTCAATTATATATACAATTCATAAAAGATGCTGCAAAATTAGTACCATTTTCATTTCCACGTATAAGACTACGTTTCATGCATAACTGACCGTCACTTATAGATAAACGTTGTCCCTCTCGCGCTGCCATACAGCGAGCCCACAAAAATGTACATTTATTTCTGTAACAACAGAAATTTGTACTGTTAGCTCCCTGAACGAAAACAAAGTCGTACATTACATCCAATTGCCCCATGCAGAATTTATACTGTAAAAAAAATCTCAAAACTGTAATTGGTGACTTATTAACCTGTGCCAACGACCGTTACTATCACAAATCGGTTCTCTCAAACCAACGCAACGGTTTAGCATTGGACAATGAAAGTGTTGCTAGAAGTAAAGAAAATTCAGAGGTGCTCAAAATCATTGATGCATTTACAAGTGAATTCATAAGCAATAAAAAAATCATCGTACATATGACAGATTCTCAACAAGATGTTTGTACTTACATTTCAGTAATTGCTGATTCAATCACAAAGAAAAGAGGAAAGTGAGCCTAATTTTTTTAATATTCTGAAGCGTTTATTAATTGAAAAAATTAGTGACGTGAATAAATTTTGACTGAAATAAGTGTTCAAC